ATACAGGTGCTCAACTCGTTTAGACGTCTCCTCCCTCGTTACCCAGCCCAGGACGGCTTGAAGGACGGCCTCCTCGTTTGAAGCACGCAGATCGTCACTGTCAATGAGTTGAAGCAGGGCCGCCGGCGACAGCGAGGCAAAGAGGTCGGTAGACACAAAATCATCGAAAATACGTCGCATGACTGAGAGACAGCTGTCCTGCATAATATCGCTCTTCGTATCCTGCGACAACAGCCAGAGATCCGACAAATGGGCCAAATTTATGCTGAAAGGAAGGCAGCAACAACAGCAGGCAACGATGAAAATGCTTGATATTGAGGACGATGGAGAAATGGTGGCATAGTATGAATTTCAAAGTAAAGGCTTTTTCAAATGCTTAACTGTACGGAAAGGCAAAAACGATCTTTTTCCTAGGAAGACGGCCTGATTATGTAGAAACCAGCACTAAAGACAACGATTTTGGGTAGAATCCTAGTTTAGGTCCCAGAAATTGTTCAAGTAATCTAATGTTTTCGCAGAAAAATAGCGCGTCATAAATAAATACAGGAATTTACTTAAACATCTTACTTACCTATAGTTCATTGGGTGTGACAAATTTGGAAATACTTAACTTACTTTTACTTTATAGTTTATAAAGTTTTTTTGATATTCCTGAAAAAAGTGGTGGTTAGGAGGTCGTCTACTTCAAATTACCTGAGGTCCAACTTACCGTTCTGGAGTTAGATTAGTATAGTTCGCGGCGCGAATCGCCGCGCACACCTTTAATTTACATGCGCGACAAGTTAACGTTAGTTTATTTTATTGGTTTTTTTTAAACTTATTTATATTTAAGCTTAGTTTTCAGTTTATTTTTGAATTCATTATTGTGTTTACTATTTTTTAGTTTAGATTATTTTTTAAAATCAAAGCCAGTTTAGCTTGCTTTACTTTACAGTTCTTAATTAGTTGAGTTAGGTAATTTAATTTACTTATTTCCAAATATTTGCATAATCGCACATTTTAATTATTGTGCGCTTTTTCGACAAACATTAGGGTATTTAAATAATTATCCCTGTTTTTTCCTACTTTTATAAATTATATTTTGTATTTGTGTTTCCTTTCCGCTGTATTGACCAGACTAGGTACTTTTTATCTCACCCGGTTCTGTATTCCAGGAGGCTGGAGCTTTTGCGTGCTGATCTGGGACCCAAACTAGGATAACACCCGATTTTGATACATGCACCGGCCCGGAACGAATGACTTCCGTGATACAGTTAAGAACAGGCTTCTGTGAACGAAACTTGTAGCTTAAACACTTACTTGCCGTCCGGCCAATACATGGGAACGGGTTACAACTTAAAACGTGCGAAAAATATTGGGTGTTGCCACGTACAAATGAGTAGTATAGATGGAGGGGGGATGGTAAGAGACCGTGGGTTAGGCGGCAGTAGCGGATTTGGTGGAACCGTTCCAGGAGGGGAAGGATGGAGGAGAGAGTGTAAATGAATATTAATTGTGCTGAATGTGACCAAAGAATGTTAAATTAAAGCCATTCATAATTGTTTAAATGAGCTAAATATAATAAATTCCATCAACATAAACTCTTGTTGCTCAGACAACTGATGTCTATTAATGGAAATTCGACCGTATATGGGCGGAATTTAACGAAAAAGGGGAAAGTCGGGTTATTAAAATGTCAAAGTAGTTTACTATCATAAATCAAACGCAAATAGGACCTCTAAAGACAGTCCTACCCTCGAAGCTGATAACAGCAGCACAGCAAAGAATTCCTGTAAGGCACTCAAAGAAATGCATATTCACTTAGGAGAATGGAAACCTGCAGTAGTGAGTCGAGGTGGCCCCAATTCTGCTTAACGACATCGCACGGCTGCAGGTTGCCAGGATTACTCTGTAGAAGCTCAAAGACTTCAATTATGAT